GCAGGCAAGTGACGGTGTTTCCACGACAATCAGCTTCTATCTTGTTAATTGTGTTTATTTTGAGACGCAAGGAAATGGCAATCTGCTTCCAGGAAGCTGAAAGTTGTTCGATTTTCTCATAAATATCATAAAAGTCCTCGATATCTGAGTAAAATATCGTTAAAATATCAAATATACTCACAAACTCACTTAGTTCTTTATTGCAAACGTTTATAAAAGGAGCAGAGGAAGCTACATTAGACACAAAGTCACAAAGTTAATTTAGTTAAAAGGGCTTGTCCTGCTTGTACCTCGGCTTGGCTTAGCCATTGTTGGAGAATGCGTACACCCTTGCAAAACTTACTAGTAGCTTTCTTCCTACTCTAGCTCTCTATGACTACCTGGATAGATATACATAGACTGGTGGAAATGGAATCACTATGATTTATGCGAGGAATCACTGGAAAATGAGTGGTTACATGAAAGTGGAAAAAGAATGTTTATTGTTTAATCACTTACTCCCACGCATGACTCACGTGACATTAGACACAAAGTCACAAAGTTAATTTAGTTAAAATAATAAAATTTCACTTTCAAACACGTGGTAGCAGCTCTGTGGCTTTTACCCAAAGTTGTGAGTTAAGCTGTACTTTTGTATTTACCTTATCAATGGTAATAGGAACTACACGCTCATTTAATTCGATCGATTAGTTCCGATACTAGACTAATACAATACTTAAGCTGATTGAGCTCAAGTCCAAGCCGAAACGGCTTTTAGGAGGAAAAGATGAAGGTTTCTCTGATTCTAATCCAAACAGTTGGAAAACAGTCATAAATGATTGAAGGAGAGAAACTAGAAAGGTATGATCAATTTACTAATTTACCAGTGGGTCATTTTGTGCGTATGAAAAGGTTAATTTAGAGGGAATAAATTTATTGAGGGGAATAAATTTATTGAGGGGATTAAATTTGCGTTTTGTTTGTTACATGGTGAGGTTAATGCTTGGCATTTTTAGTGTCGCTCTT